AGGACAGTCTCAGCTGGTTGGGACAGAGTGGAAATTTCCACACACCAGTGTTTCATATGTATACTTTCAAAGTTAAAGGACGTTTGGAGTCCAAAGCTTTCAAGTAGATTAAAATGCATAGCTTTCTAAAAACCTTTGCTGACTCTGGCCAGTTTTCAGACTTCTCCAGAATCCAACAGGGCCAACATGATTCACTGAATTCTTTATGAATTAAGAAGCTGTAAATTACACATCTTTTCTTTTAAACATGCATTACTTTCCACACTTTACAGCCAAGCCGAATAAACAGTGTTAGAGAGGTAGTGTTCTCTCTGGGAAGATTTTCTCCCTTCTCTTCCTATTCTTCAAACAGAGGATGGCCTAGTGAAGTGGCAACAGTGGTTAGGGCAGGAGCCCAATGTGACATTTTTGAGAACTTTCACCAGCAGGGTGAAAATGACAGCATAAGAAATCCACTTTCATGGAAGCTCCAAGATTGGAAAAGGGAGTGGCTCCAGCAGGAATAAGATGCTCTCCCTCATCTGGAGATGATAACAGTTGCCTTCGTTAGAAAAAGCTTTTCCATCATTCATTCTTTCATTAAATATGGTCTGTATGCCAGGTATTTCCCTGCCCTGGAAATAAAGGAGGCCGGACATGAGCTGGAGAAGAGTCTCAGGTGCTGGGATGTGTCCAAGTGTGCCTGGGTTCAGAGGACCCTCATCCCCAAAAAAGAGGCAGCCAACTTCACACTGGGGAGTTTCCAGCTCTGGACAAAAAGAAATGAGCCTAAGACAACTGCCTTTTCACAGTATGGCTGCTGGAAGTTGAACTTGCATCTATGTGAGCACTAATTTATTTAAAAATGATTTTCCAGGAAATGCAAAGGAAGAAGAGTTTGGAAAGAAATAGAAAGTTTGAGAAAAGCTAGTTGTTTCCAGAAAATAAGGTATAGCTATAAGACGCTTGAATATTTGAAAACAAATTGCTGTAACAGCGATGTCTTTGTAAAGATGGAGAGACGATGTTACATCAAATGATTCTGCTTCAAAAGCATGGGACTTGGCCCAGTCCTCTTCTCGCTTTACCCTTCAGGAAGTAAAACGTAAGGTCTGAGTGGGCAAACACCACCGAAGTGGAATCAGGAGCTCTGGCTTCTCCTCCTAGGAGGGACTTTACCCCACCCCGAATCCCAGGCCCGTTCCCACACCTGTAAAATGAGAGTCCTTATCTTCTTTGGGGTTCCTGCAAATTCCAGGATTCCTTTACCCTTTCCATTTTCTTCCAAACCACCCTGCCTCACAAGATGATATTATTTCATCCTCAGAGCAGGCTCGGAGGCAGGCGCTGGCCGCTCCCAGCTGTATGCTAAGCAGCTCTGGGAGGCTCAGGGCCAGGGGCAGGACTGCCCGATTTTTGGCAATGGGATAAAGCAAGGGGCTTTGGAGCACTGAGATCTGGAACGACGTGGTAAATCAGCAGACCCATTTCAGGCCAGCACCCAAGACCCTGTGGGCATGTGGTGTGCAGGGAAGGGCCTCCAAGGGGAGGGGTGGCCTGCAAGGAGGGGACAGTGGGCTCCTCACAGCTGCCTGTGCCCCGCTGAGACACAAACAACACCCTCTTTTGAGTCAGACAACTGACTACCCAGGCTTTGCCAAAATGAGGACAGACTCTTCTGAAAGGGGCCAATTTTATTTCAAGGGTCTAATGGGACCAAGGAGATGGAATTAAAAGTTTCAGCTATTAAAAAAAGGCAATAGACCATCTTCTTCCAAATAAACAAACTATCCTTTGAACAAGAAGACAGCCTTCTAACCAGGTCAGGCTGGAACTAGACCATGAAGGGGACACCCACTCCCCGCTACCACCAGGCTCTCCTCTCTTGAATCTGAGCCCCCCGACTTTCTGCTGTGCTGCTTTGGGGAGCCTAGTGCTTTCCTGCTGGGGCCTTGCCAAGGATCGATCTGATGAGCTCATGTGACACAGACCCTTCCCGAACACAGTGCTTACATTTGGAAAGGGGCCCCTACAAATTTCTAAGGGCAGAATTCTAGGCAGGGAAATCTCCCTACAATCTCTCAAGTCACATAATAAAGGCAGTTACCAGCTTAACCATCATTCTTAGCAAGCTATCACAAGAACAGAAAACCAAACACCGCATGTTCTCACTCATAGGTGGGAACTGAACAATGAGATCACTTGGACTCAGGAAGGGGAACATCACACACCGGGGCCTATCATGGGGAGGGGGGATGGGGGAGGGATTGCATTGGGAGTTATACCTGATGTAAATGACAAGTTGATGGGTGCAGCACAGCAACATGGCACAAGTATACATATGTAACAAACCTGCACGTTATGCACATGTACCCTACAACTTAAAGTATAATAATAATAAATAAATTAAAATAAATAAATAAATAAATAAAAATAAAAATTTAATTTATAAGTGAAAAAAAAAAAAAAAAAAAAGACAACACTTGCCCCAACTACCAATTTTCAATATTTTATGACCTTTTTAAAAAAAACTCCAAACCAGGCTGGGCATGGTGGCTCACACCTGTAATCTCAGCACTTGGGAGGCCGAGGCGGGTGGATCATTTTAGGTCAGGAGTTCGAGACCAGTCTCGCCAACATGGTGAAACCCTGCCTCTACTAAAAATACAAAAATTAGCTGGGCATGGTGGGAGGTGCCTGTAGTCCCAGCTACTCAGGAGGCTGAAGCAGGAGAATCGCCTGAACCCCGGAGGTGGAGGTTGTAGTGAGCAGAGATCTTGCCACTGCAAAAACTCCAGCCTGGGCAACAGAGCAAGACTCTGTCTCAAAACAAAAACAAACAAATAGAAATTCCAAACCATAATTTTTCCCCCTCACATTTGCCACCTTTCTCTCTATGATTGCAGCTTATTATTTGTGTGTGTGAAGACTACATTATATGAAATGATTTACAGGATGGCAACAAAAGCTTGACAGAGCGGAAAAAGCTGCAGCATTCCTCTCAACTCTTACATTAATATTTGAAGAGCAGTGTTCATAAGACGTGTTTCCATATCACTGGTTTTTTGGCGTTTTCTGCTATCCTCTGGTTCTAACTTTCTTAGCATGAGGATTGAATCAGAACTATGAAAGATTATCTGGATTAAATGGAATGTATGCTCTTTTTAAAACAACATATATTAATCAAGATCCAAAACAAATAATGAATATAATTAGAGAAGACATTATTCTTATAGTAAGCGGTTCTATACTCTGAATACACGTCTCACCAAATAAAAAACATATAGTCATATTCATAACCTATAGTTTATTTTTTATTTTATTTATTTTTAATTATTTTTATTTATTTTTTATTTTTTTTATTTTTTTGAGATGGAGTATCGCTCTGGCACCTAGGCTGGAGTGTAGTAGCACAATCTCGGCTCACTGCAACCTCTGCCTCCCAGATTCAAGGGATTCTCCTGCCTCACCCTCCCAAGTAACTGGGATCACACGCGTGTGCCACCATGCTCAGCTAATTTTTGTATTATTAATAGAGACGGGTTTTCACCATGTTGGCCAGGCTGGTCTCGATCTCCTGACCTCAAGTGATCCACCTGCCTCGGCCTCCCAAAGTGCTGGGATCACAGGCGTGAGCCACTGCACCAGGTCTCATAACCTATAAAGAAATAGATTAGGGTTTTGCCATCAAAAACTAAAAAAAAGAGGAAAAGCCCCTTTTAAAATATATCATCAAAGGAAGAAAAGAAAAATAAAAAAAATCATCAAAATATTTCACTGATGTCTTAGGTAGTTGATCAAATACCGAAGGTGAGTGGAAAGCCACATGGGTCTGGTGTAGTCGTCTGGCCCTGACTGAGACACTAACTTCTCTGTATCTCAGTTTTCTCTACTCTAATCATGGATTTGAAAACATGAACGTGACACTGAGGGGACATCATCCCCAAACGCTCCCAGCCTCTGAACATCCACTTCCATTACGTGTTTAAAATGAGATGAGGAAGCAGCGGTCCTGGCCTTGGCCCGGAGATTCGGTGCTATTCTCCAGCGGCAAGGCTGCTGCTGAGGGCGCATCAGCAGTAGCCTTCGCTCTGGGCGATCTTCCAGCTTTGGGAACAACACCTCTGACTGATCCTCAACACTTCCTTCGTTCCTGCTTGCGCCCAACAACAGCCCAGGATGGGTCCAGGTGAACCCCAAGGGCTCTCTCAGACACAGAGACCAGGATTTCAGCCTCCTGGGCACCAGGCTGTCAGCTCCTCAGTACGTGTGTCTCTACAAAGGGATGGGAAATGTACCTTTCGTTTTAGTGCTCAAAGAAAGACGCGCAACTCCACCCTCCATTTCTGTTATCAACCTCTGTGCTGCGGAAATAATTACTGGACTCAAGACTAACATCCCTCATGGAGCTGAGGGTCCCAAAACAAGTCTAGAGAAAGCAAACAATTACTGGTCCAATGACAGGGTTCTATCGAGCTGTGGTGGAAAGAACCCAGACTGTGAAGGCAGGAAACCCGGAAACAGTCGGTCGCGGTTGTGCCCTTACCTGAGAGGTGACTGGCAAATCCCACAACCTTTAGAATCTCAGGGTCCTCATCTGAAAACACTCCCTCCCTCCCAGAGTGGTCATGGGAACTGAATGGGCTGAGGGATGAGAAAGGGCTCTGCCGCCCTCTAACAGACACCCCCCAACACCTTTGTTCTTCTTAAGCACGACAGTGCTAGTCAGGACTCCTTAGGAAAGACTGTTTCCGCTCTGGGACCCAAAATCTAGCACTAAAAACAACTGAGCAAAGCAACATCAGAAGATCATTTGAGGAAATGTTCATTAAGATCTGGGTCACCCGGAACCAGTTTCTCTCGCCAAGACCTCCTTCCTGCGGAAGCACCCTCTCTGCCCCATGCTCCATGAAGGCGCCAAAGGCAAGGCCTGGGAAGGGAAGAGTGAGCCTTCCCTGGTGGAGGGGCCACTCCCCAGGCAGTGGGGAGACCACCTTTTGCATGCAACAGGACTGACTTACCAGGTAGCGCTCCTCCTGCCTCATGCTGGGGGTGCGGATCATGTGATTCTGTTCCCCTCTCCAGTCTCCAAAGCGACGGAAAAAATAGTTAGATAAGAACCGGTTGACAGGGTCTCTAATGATGTTGATGTAGACAGGCTGGTCTCCTCCAAACCTAACACAAACATTGAGTTCGTTACAACCCATCACTGCAGGAGGAAAACAGGGCCTACTTAGACAACATCTCCCCTCCCCTCTAGGTTAACTTACTGAAAGATGATCTCCTATGCGAAGGTGCCAATGACACGTAATAAGCAAACAGGGTTTCCTGATAGGCATTTTATTATCATGCAGGAAGTGGGGAGGATGATACCTGTTCCAGGTACCTGTTGAGGGGCTGTGAGGACATTTCATAGTATAGCACGGTACAAACCACACCGTTGTGCATGTTAAGGAAGAGATGGTGTCCAGTTTTCTCACTAGGCTGTAGGTTTCTCGAGGATGGGGGCCACTCTGTATTGGATTTAGTATTTCCAATGGCTAGAACAGAACCCATGGGGACACAGTTGGCCCTTGGTGAATGTTTCAGTTGATTGGTAGGTTCTGACTGCCTTGCTGAGTGAGATGGCCCTTCCTCTACATTGTAATTCAAACAGTTCTGGGTCAGGTGCTCTGCAGTAAGTGAGTGAATAACAGCCAGTCTTCACTGAGCACTCTCTATTCATCTTGTTCTAAATACCTCATGCAATCAGCTTGCTGAAGCCCCATAACACATCAATAGAGTAGAAAAAATAATTATCCTCATTTACACTTGGGGAAACTGAGGCAGGAATAAGGTTCATAACTTGTAGCTGAACTAGGATATGGGTCCAGGCAATCTGGCTCTAGAATCTATGCTCTTAATTATGGAAAAGTGATTTCCGGAGTTGAGGAAATTTTGTGTGGGATATCAAGAATAAAACAATATTCAACATAATTATCCTCAAGTGATGGCAAGCGGCTTCAGATAAAAATAAAGCAAATAGCCAGGTGTTCCATTTTAATTCCTTCCATGAAAGGATTGGATGAATCCACTAAATCTTGGCTGAAGAACAAGGTCTTCCTGAGGGAAAGTGATGAAATTGGCTGGATTTGTCTTAACAATTCCTTCTTTTTCTCTTTGAACTGCTTGAAAGCAGTAGCCTTGAGGAGTCCGGGGAGACTGCCCCAGTCTCTGGGCAGAGGTCATGCTCTGGTGACCTCCTGAGGGGCCTGCAGGGTTCTCTAGCCCTATGACCTTGTGACATTCTGAGGAACGTGCCTGGACATTCTCTCAGGGGTCAGAAAGAACTCTAAGAGAAAACAAACTGACAGGACCCTGCTTCTGCCTCTCTCCAGGAGCTAGCAGACTCCATTCACCTTTCAAAACCCAGCTTGGAGTCACATCACATCCTTCGGCAATTAATGCCCAACCCAGGGTCCATGCCTCCCTCCTCTGTGCCCCGGGCCCTCTCTCCTGCACTGTGTGGAAATGTGTGCCTCTCCCATCACACTGTGGGCCTCCTGCAGCCAGGAACGACACCCTCTAGCTCAGTGTGTGGCACACAGTAGGTGCTCAACAAATGATGACCAAATTAAGAAATGAACATCTGAGTGTGTGCCTCTCAGTTGTTAATGTTTCTTCTCATATCATGGGACTCTGTTGTCAGAGGAAAGGCATAACAAGCCACCCATCCTTTTCTGTGTATGAATTCATATAATGTTGCTCTTGGTTTATCTGCATTTTAAAAAAGAATCTTCAGAGAGAAGAATCCAAAGGAACAACTCTGAGATAGTGGAATTTCAGGCACCAGGACACATGGATGATACCCTGGAGCCCTTAAATACTACCACATTGGAACACACACTGCTCACGGATGAGATTAGCCTTGCAGTGTGAATCTTGTTAGTTCTCAGAAATACACATTCATGTAACTGGATGAACAACTCACTGGAGTCCCAGGAGCTAGCTGTGCCAACCACCAGCTAACTACTGTACACACCCCAGATTTATCCCCCTTTTAAAATTAAATTGGGTTTCATATCTATGATAAACAGTAGCTAAAGTAATAAAGCTAGGGACTAGGAAGACAAGGCTTGCATACCAAATACACACATAATTAGACCCTCAAAACTGCTTCACGCTTTTAAAAACCTCAACTGTTCTTCTATGTTCATGTGAAGAATGATTGCTAGTGCTAGTTAGCAGAACTGCCCAATCATATGAATCCATGCACAGTGTCCCATCAGGAGATGGCTCTCAGCCTCACCACTGCCATCTTTGATCAACGGTGAGAGAAGTAAGGACTGGCAAGTCTTGATGAGCATGGATGACTTGCTCTTGTTTGCATGCTGCAACCCAATGCAAGATTTCCAGAATAATTTTCCAAAATGGAAGTTTTAGATGGCTTAAGAATGTATTGTCAAGTATCAGATAATATAGTAGACTCTCTCTAGAAGTTTCTAACTATGAGAAAGAGGTGTCTGGTATATATCTCCCCCTTTGCAGAAGGCAATAATGGTTGCAGGCTGCCAGCCCTCTGTACACACAGCTTCTGCCAAATTGGGAAAATCTGGGGCGACATGTCAGTTATACAGAAGAGGCCAGAATACCACCATGCTACCACCAGGGACCATAGCATAGCACATGTCCTAGTGCCTGAGCAGGGAAGCAAATTTCCCTACCCTCATGCCATCTTCTTTCAGCATCAGTTTCTCCTCTCAGTATTTTAAAACTCTGGTCAGAATTCCTGGCTACCATTTATAAAGTCCCTGGGTCACCTGAACCTTTTGCTCACTCATGATTTCATTCTGGGGGTGAGAATGGTTTGTACCCTACCATCCCATACAGTGAAAAACCCTGCCTGATTTTTAAAAGCCTTAAGAGAAGATTCCACAACCTCCCTGTGAAGTCTACTTTGTCAGTTGAAAAGTCTTTCTTACACCCAGCCAATATTTAAAATTTTCCTTTTATGCACATTTCCTTTTGTTTGAACCATTTGACACAAAGAATTTGCGTCTCCTGTGCTTTTACAACGCTTAGCCTTTTCAACTTCAATTTTAATTCCTTTAACTTTTTATTGTTTCCTTCAAAAATTCCTTTGGCTTTTATCTTAAGACTTATTGCCCTTCATTTTATAATCTACAGCTCTAATTTGATCTTTATGGAGCTCTAAAAATTTGTGGTGACTACGGCTGATCACAGGTTCTAAGTAGTGCATACACTAGAGAGTAGAAGAGTCAGGCCATATTTTGTTTTTTGTTCAACAACACAATCTTTTGTCCTTCAGTCACCACAATTACTCCTGCATCTATGAAGCTCTTTTAAGCCGTCCTAAAATAGCAGGCAATACCAATTTCTTCGACATTTGTTCACAGATCCTATTCAGCGACTCTGTAATCACTCCTCTGGGCTTCCTTTGGACTCTGCAAATGTGTCATAGTTTTAAAATTTTACTTATTTTTTTGATGAGAAGATGAAGATCTGTAGCAGGGCATAATTCTCTAGGAACCATAACTGCATGGTTCTCATTCTGAGAGGCATTTCCAAACACATCATTCTGAGCATTTTCATCAGCATCTGTCTCACACTGCTACCTCAATCAGTTCATCAACCCATCGATAATATTAGTCACCTCTTCAATAGCTACACAAAGCACTAGTAAAAATTTTAGGTATATTTTCATCAAAATTTAAAAGGCATTCTTCCTGAGATAATAATTATTGCACATATTAAATCAATACTTAAGACCAGAATTATCCTTGAGAATTAAGACTGTTTTGTACTCCAATTACAGTAGAGATTACTGTGATTGCAATCAGTTTTTGAACGTATATTCTGTTCTTTTAAGAAATTCTAGTAAAAAATAATATGTATATGTAATATATATATTTGCCCTTTTCATCATTTTAAAGTATATAATTCAGTAGTATTAAGACATTTACATTGTTGTGAAGTCATCACCACCACCTATCTCCACAACGTTTTCATGTTCACAAATGGAAACTCTGCCCATTGAACATAAAAATCTCTTTTTCTGCTTTCCCCACCCCTGGTAACCACCATTCTGCCAAAAGCCTACCTCCTTTTTAGCCTCTGACCTGGAAGTAGAGGGTACCTTTGCGCTGCTATCTACCTTAAAGGGTGAAAAGTACCATAGGCCAGAGGCCCAGGGCTTTGATCCTTGTCAGTGAGGGAGGAAGACACTTTGAAGTGAGAGAAAGGCCATCATGGAAAAGAACAGGACCTTTCAGGGGCAGAGTGAGGAGTGGCTGAGGTGGAGAGGGGTAGAGCTGGTTGTTTATTTTTGAGACAGAGTTTTGCTCTTGTTGCTCAGGCTGGAGTGCAATGGTGCGATCTCAGCTCACTGCATCATCTGCCTCCCGGGTTCAAGTGATTCTCCAGCCACAGTCTCCCAAGTAGCTGGGATTATAGGCACCCATCACCATGCTTGGCTAATTTTTGTATTTTTAGTAGAGATGGGGTTTCGCCATGTTGGCCAGGCTGGTCTCGAACTCTTGACCTCAAGTGATCTGCCTGCCTTGGCCTCCCAAAGTGCTGGGATTACAGGTATGAGCCACTGTGCCCAGCCAAGATGGCTGTTAAAGGGCCCTTTGCTGGAGCCCGTTGCAGTAACAAGAGTCCCTGAACGTCCAGTGGGGGCCAGCATGGTGGGGAGGTCTGGCCTCTGTCCTCATACCCCCTGTAGTGGGCACTTCCATCTCCTCTGCCCAGGACTAGACTTCCCCCCTGCCCGCCACTGCCCATCACAAAACACAAGCAGAAGAGACAGTTGTGCTTTGCTCTCCGGTCTGTCCTAAGGCAAGAGAGATGGAAACATTTGCTGTGAGAAGATGAGACAAATGGGGAAGGAGGTGGGTGGTTGGGTCAGGGCTCCTGCTCAGAGAGGAAGATGAATTGACAAGGCATGAAATAAACAGTAGGAAATAATCAGGAAATGAGGTGGGCTGAGGGAAAGTCCAGATTATACTCGTCGCTGATGGGCCAACACAGCTGGTGGCCCATGCAGCAGCAGAGATCCACTCCCCATAGAGGGAAAGGCAGAAATAGAGGAAGAAACTGCCAATGTAGGAAGACGAACCCAGCCAGGGTTCACAGAGGGAAAACCCAGAGAAAACTTGCACTTGTAAATGGAA